AAGGCAATTGATCAGACAGCTTTGCTTCTTTTAAGAAATTCTTCACGCGTTCCGGGTTATAACAGTTGCTCTCTCGACATATACGCTCCACTTCCTTTATTTGGCCAGTCTTGCACGCCGCCTGAATATATTTGAAATGCACCTCTTGATCCTGACTAAAATTCACGATAGACCCCAAGAAGTAGAATAGACCTTCGTAAGACTTAAAACTCTCGAACAGATCTATCAACGCTTTAGTCGTCAACTGCTCATGATATTTGGTCGCAATCTGTATGCAAATCTGTAAGTTTTGCCGTATATTGGCCGTTAACATGGCCTTCAAGCACTCGAGAGAATCTTCAACGGACAGAGTACCGAAGAAACCTACGAGCCAGTCAGGCGAGAGCAGATGTGTATGTACTACCGCTCTTTTAATATCATACAAATCTGTGTAGTGTTCGAGAGCGCGTTGCAACAAGCCAGCCTTCTCGCACAATTGCGCGACGTGAGCTCTGTCGTAATGGGTAAACATTTGATTGCCCAATATAGCGTCAGCCACTTGCGGGGCGGACATTAAATTCATTTCTAAGAGGCGAGTTTGTAAGGCACCCTCGCTCGGTCGATTGTTTTTGAGCGCATCCAGCAGAAACGCTGTACATTGCTGCACCATATTCTGCTCCATAAATATATCGACAATCTGATTGATGTCGGCCAATGGTTCGTCGTCCTGAACCAACATCTGTGCAAACGCCACACCCTGATCGGGATTAATTCTCATGACATTCCGCAAGAGGAATATATAGTCGGGCGTATACGAGACTTTTTTGGCATACAATACGATCTTCTGAAATTGGCCGGTCTCCGCGAAGCATTGAATTACCTTGTTAGGAACGTTGGCTCTCAAATAAACGCTAAGCGCCAATGTGGGATCCGCTTGTTTCACTAAATCCCCCAATTCTTCGCTACATTCCAGCTTGTCTTCCTTCAGCCATTTCTCCAGTAGTTGTTTACGTCCTTGAACTAATACCGGTCGGCACAACTCCAACGACTCATATTTATTCAGTTGTCCCTGATCCAGAAGAATACCGAAATACTGTAAGAGAGGAGACGTTTGGCCCTGAGTAGCAGGAACCTGTTGAAATCGCTGGATAGTCGCCGGCGTTCTGAGTATTCCTTTAGGAGCATTTGCTGCGACTTTCGCTGCCTCCGCGTACTGGCCATTTTGGAAGAGCATATTAAATTTCCTTACGAATAAGTCCTCTGCGCCTGACAGATTGTTTCTTACGGCCATTCTCAATGCCAATTCCGAGTTCTGTAGCACTCCGTTGATGTACGGAATTATGTTCTCCTCGTCCACGGAAACGGACAAGACTTGACCCTTCCGATTCACTCCTATTATACCGCCAGATGCTTCGTGCGGTGCGGTAACAAAGATTGTCTCCCCAGAGATACGATTCATAAATATACAGGTCGCGGACTCAATATCGTACATATGTATATAACCGTATTTCGTAATTAAATATATGACGTCATATTTGGAGCTAACTTGCATCGCGACGGGAAAATCGTTTCCTGCCTCAGGCGGGAAAAATACATCTACAGCTTTCTTGGGAAATGGGTGGTTACCAGAGGGCGGTTGGCCCACTTCGATGATGTGAAGCTTCGCGCCCTGGACCGTTCTGACAGCAAAACAGAATAGATTGCTTGGCTCTCCGTTTCCTTCCATTTTAAACTGAGCAAAGGAGGCGGCGTGTCCTTCGATCGGTTGTGAACATTTACGTTCCACAGAGTAAAGCTGCATGGCGCCGACCACTCGGTTATGCTGTGCTGAAATACCAATCAACAATAGCCACGTCTGCTTTGGATCTGTTCGATAATTTATAATCTGACAGCCGTTTAATGACGAATGACGTTCGAACATCTTATTTGGCGTTGAATCACCCTCCATGGACCAGTGGTACACTGCAGTCTCTGTTACCAATGCCAATGTGTTTAGCGATATCCATTTCCAAAAGACCACATCTTCCGTCATTGTGTGAGCTTTCATCTTTGATTTCATCTCAATATTGAAAATCTGAAGCGTCTTCATAGCTAAAAAAAAAATATTTCTCTTAATAATTCTCATATTTTCTTTCAATATTTCTATTATCTTGCAATCATTATCTTGCATCGAGGTTCGCTTTAGGAAAATGCTTGCAATAGATTACAATATGCACTCCAACAAAACACATAGATGACACAGTATAACACAATGTCATTACTTCCTTGTTGTTTGCCACTGTTAAATAAAGATGAAACATTTCTGTTACACTGTATCATTTGCTGAAAAGCATGTGTTACGTTGTATCATCTGTAAGTCTGTTCGCGTTGCTCGCACTTTTGTATTCAGTCTCGCTTTTACTCTTTTCAACATCTAAATATATATTTATCTCATCATAAGATGGAGATTTCAAACAACATGTTATTTGTTTTCTCTTGTCGAAAAGCAGCCAATATTGCTTTCCAGATTAAAAATAAAGTAGAAAGTTTCGATATTTACTTTCTACAATGGAATATCTTTTCCTGAAATCGAGCATTCGTATGTGTATGTATACATACCTTTGAGAGCAATGACTTTACTAGCAGGATTCATGATTGCAGAATCAGCGGATATTGGTCTTCTGATAGGATTGGCTGAATCATTCATATCAATGATTACTACCTGGGCAGTATCACCAACTTTCTCTCTAACGCAAATAAATTTGTCAGACTCCATGGTGAGAGTGTTAAAGCTGACATTACTAGCATTAATTCCTACAGCTGTAAGCTGCAAAAATAAAAAACATAGATAACCTTGCATTCTTCAAACTCATGTTTGTAGTCAAGAATAAAATTCAATATATGGCTGGTTTTATGTTTTCTGAGAACAAAGAGGTTTATTATTAAGTCAACTTTATTGACAATATATGTCTGACAATCTAAAAACGACTAATACGTACACATATACTCTCCAACAATTGAGCTTAATACTGATTTTAGACATTATAACTGATTATAGCCAGTATAATTAGGAAAAATAAGATAAGACATCAACAAAATAAATTTTTAAACTAATTTGATTCCAAAATTTTTGTAACTATTGGAAGTTTGTGCTGATTGGATTATACTTTTAGATCTAAAGGAGTCCTATCGCAGCAAAAAAACTTAACAGTTGCAAAATAAACATTCTGTTGAACATAATAAATATGTAATATTACTGTAACAACCATATGTTGCTAAAATAAAGCATGCTCGAATTGCGGTGTGTGTGTGTATGTGTGTGTGTGTGTGTGTGTGTGTGTCGCAAGTAACAGCTTGATTTCCATCATCCTAACGAGCGTCTACATAGAACATATAAGAAGGAGCGACAGCATTTTCCGTGATACTCAATGATGACGCGTCGAGACAATGGGAGGATTGTATGCCGATAAGGTGCAACAATTTCGAGTAAAAGCGGAAACGAGGGGCGTATGCGCTAAACGATAGCGTCTCGGTGGGGAAAAGAAAAAGAGGAGAGACCTCTTGGGATTATAAAATGTTCGCTTGGCCCGCGATATCGCGTTCAATTCCATGCGGATAACCTGTGCCACGAAATTCGACGTGAAGAGAGCGCGAGGCAAGTCGGCAAAGTCAGAGAGTAGAGTCGGGTGTGTAACGTCATCAGGTCTCATCGCGCTCGGCTGATGGGGAGGGAGGGAAGAGGGAGAAAGGAGACGTTGCAACTGTCAAAGAGTAACGTCAGTTACTTCGAAATATTGCACTTCCGTTCCAAAGAGACGGGGGCAAGTAAATCCGTCGATACATCGACGGATAGACGCACGCGAAAGAGAGAAAGACAAAGAGGAGGGGGAGAGATAAATGAGAGAGAAGACGAGAGATGCGGGGGCAGAGAAAATGTCCGGTGTTCCGAGAGAAAGGCCGACGTGGTAAATGTCGATGATGGGGCGCGCAGCGCGGGGTTCACGGGGGAGGGAACACGGAGCAAACGTACCTGCAGGTGTTCCTGGAACCTTATGGGTAGTAGCTGCGTCATTTTCGCCGAGATGTCTGAGGGATCCGTCGTGGCGAGGTTCTCAGTCACCGTTCCCGCCGTGATGCAGATTTAGATCTCCTCCGTACACGGATGGAGATCACGCAGTCTCAAAATCCAATTCTCTTTACTTACGGAACTCGTTCCCCCGGGTGTCGTTGTGTGCGCCTCTCTCTGTCTATCTCTGTCCCGTCGCAGGACGCTCAACATCAATTCGTCGAAGCGCGTAAAAACCGACTGAGCGGAGAGCGAGCGTAAACGTCGCTACTCGCCGCTGACACCCATCATGGCCGCCAACGCCGCCCCTCTAACTCGAAATAGTTCCCGCGTATGGAGATTTCCCGTGGAAAGATTCACCGCTCGCGCGCGAGAGAGATCCAGAAAGATCGACGATCAAAATCGCTAAATAATGACAATGAGCGCCGGAAAATTTTCTCGTGTCCGGTCGACGATTAGCGATCCGATGATCACGATGACGTTAGCGGAGAGGAGAGTGTCGAGTGGAGCACAGCGCGAGCGCCCCGACACCAGCGGAAGAATACAAGCGACGATTTGACACGATTGGACTCAGTGGCGAATCTCGCGCATCATCCCCTCCTCTTACTCCACCTGCCGCTGTCGCCACCGAGTGCGTAACGTACTTCCACGCAGTCGATTACGAGTCTCTCTCTCTCTCTTCCCCTCTCCTTCCCATTCTCCACGTTCTCTCTCTAATTAAAATACTTTTTCTCTTATAAAACACACATCCTGAAGGTTATCGCAGAGGTTTCGCTTCGTTCGCGACGCTTCCTTGTGATACGTTAAATGCAGTTAATTCTAAAAAGAATTTTCGTCAGGATTTTATATAACAAATGTTTTAATTTAAATTATTTAAATTAATAAAATTCAATTTAAATAAGTTTAAAACTTGTATAAAATTCTTTTTAAAATCAAACGTGACTAAAAGTAGGGATGTAAAGAGATTGGTATTGAGTTCAGTTAAAAGTACGCTTTATTCTCCAGCAGAAGTATCAGCTAATGATCCTTAACGCTTATGAAAGTTAAATTGGAAATCACTCATACCGCTGCTGCAGAATGCAATGTATTTCATTCTTCAGTGATAAAATAAAAAAAGTCTTTAGTCAAACAAGCCAAAGCCCATATCGTCGTCCTCTGATTCAGATTCTTCTTTAGCTGGCTTCTTTTCCTCTGTTAAAAGAAATATTATTCGTTATTTTCACAAGCATTTAGTATCATTATAAACATCTTAAATAGAAGCCTATTTATTCTTTTTAGTTGAATTTTTTGCATAATTCTCTTTTCCCTTTTTTTTATGTTGAAGAGAAAAGATGAAATGTGCAAGAAATTCAATTAAAAAGAATGGATTTTAGAATTAGGCTTTAAAAGTCATAAACCTACCTTTTTTCTCTTCAGCTGGAGCTGCTGCGCCACCAGCAGGGGCTGCAGGAGCACCAGCAGGAACTGCTCCACCAACTGGCATGGACGATAGTTTCTCTCTGCCTGGAATTGCAAAATACAATTCGATTTGGATTACACATAGTTCTGAATGAAAAACAATTGACTCTCAGTGTCTTCAATCCCTAAATTTATTCCAAGTATATTTTGATTTTGTAACAGGTTAATTAGAAAATCAAAAGTTGGATAAAGCAATTATGAGACAAATAGTTTCAGAAACTCATATTATTCATTTTACAAGTTTGTATGTTTGTTTGGTTTGATTCATGGAAATATAATAGTATAATAGTATCTATTCTTTTTAGCTGAACTTGTATTTATCCTTTTTCTTTTCTCTAATGGAGAGAAAAGGAGATAAATCATATAAAAAGTTTAAAAGAACCAAATAAATATTTCTAATATCCATTTTTATCAATGCATCAAATTAATCTTGAATAGGATAGAAAAAAATTTATTTATTTCAACTAACATCAAGAAGCAATTTGATTTACAAATAAATAACCAATACACATCCTATATTTAACTTACGCTTCTATACAAATTACTTACTCAAGCTATTGCTATATCCTAAGTCCATCACAAAAAATCCATATATTCTCTCTGAGCTTACTTACTTTACATACAATTTTGTTTCTCATGCACTTTTAATTCTAAGTGCTTATTTAACTTCAATCTTAATTTGTTCTTTATCTCTTTTTAATTGTAGAAAGAAGTAAAAAAATAGTTAAATTAAGATTAAAGTTAATCTGATAGAAACAATCATAAATGTTTCAAAGAATATATCGACATACCCTTGGCAATCAGTTCGTCCATTGATTTGCCATTTAATTCATTAATGACCTTCTTTAGTTTCTCAGCATCAGTTTCAATTCCTACTGATGACAGAATTTTTTCAATGTCATTCTGGCTTGGCGAGGCTTTGCCTCCCAAAACTGCCAGCATATAAGCGGCCACGTAACGCATTCTGCAAAATAATATATTAAAATATAAATCCAAGATAATTTGTATAATGTGATTATTCTAAGGGTTAATTGAGCTCAGTAAAAGAAAATATATCCTCAGAATCATTCAGTCGAAAGATGGTGATATAATCATCATGAAATAAGAAACTTCTATAAATATACGTGAGATACATTTGGCTTATACATATAAGAACCATAATATACATAAACATCATTCGCGTGAACGGGGCGTGATAAGTAATGTATCTATGGCTTAAATATTGATATATTTGTACTGGATTATAACCTATTGCACCTTGGCGCACGCGAACTCCATTTTCATTTTCTATTAAGTGTCTCATATTACTTTCAAAATTTACACTATGTTGTTTAGTAAATTTAACCATAACTCAGACAAAAATGAATAGCGAATATTGATTACATATAACGTCTTGGATATTTGCGCTTTCGCGTAAACATGACGTATGGAAAATGGAAAGTATCCATCGATGTGACGAATTGTAAAGTGCGATCGAACGAAAACATTAATTAATTTGATTTGTCGATATTCAGATAACCCGGAATGTAGAATATTATTCTTTATAAAGACAAAATTTAAGTTTAAACATACCTTTAAGTCTTACGACACGAAACGTGAATCCGCTAAAGCAATATTAAAACGTGCACGAAATTTGCACCGGAAAAGAACTGAAAGAAATAAATCTAATGAAAGGATGATAGATGGGAGACTTCATGTCTTACCGTCACGCCCTCTTGAGTGCATTTGGATAAACTTAGCAAATAATGTCGGTTAATTATGGAGTTTCAAAAATATTCAAATCTCGGAGTTGATTCTGTATTTTCAAACAAGGTGAAAATTACAAAAGTGAGCAAATTATTAGGTGTTGACCAATGAAATTATCAGTATTCTAGTAAATTCGCTCACATATGTGATTTTCACTTCGTTTCAAGATACAGAAATCGATTCTCAATATTTATAGTTCATTTTTATTTTAAAATTATATATTATTAGATAATATCTTAAGATGTTAATACGACTTGTGATTGACTTATGACATCTTAAAATATTTGCAATCTGAAAACCGATTATGAATACTGTCCATAATTTAAATTATAAGCAAGTTTTTTAATTTATCGATTGATCAATTACATTACGTACAAATGTATTAGTTGAGTAATTAAAAAATTTGTCTTATATTTATATAATTATATTGGATCTTTTCAATTATAAAATCTTGACGAAAATTCTTTTAGAATTTTTCATATAATTATAAAATTACCTCAATGATTATTGTCAAGTTTTTTTTAATTACATTTTAAGAAACTTCATATAAAATATAAACAATTTTATAAGAAAATTATTAATATAAAAAAATCATTAATTGTTGAAAAAATTATATGATTTACCAATTGAACGAAAAATGCTTTAGTTTATGGCTTTTACTGCTAGAGATGATAGAGTGCAGCATGTGTTCGAACACATGTTGCACATCCACATCAGGTGTATATCAATTGAGTTGTACGTTGAAATTAGAATAGATCGAGCTTTATTGCAAAGATCAAATATAATTAAATTATGCTTGTATTTCTTTAATTGAACTAAACTATTAGACAAATTATTAGATATATTGCTCCATGCAGAAGCAATAATTAATTTATCTTTGATATCGAACATCGCTAATAATCTCATATGTTTATTCTTAAGAAAATATTGTAGTCTTTTTTCCAGTGATTCAAGAAGGCAGATGATTCAAAATGACCGATCAATACTCAATAAAGGGAGCTTTCCAGTAGAGGCACAAATTGACAAGAATGTCTTGTTTCTTATTAATTATCGAACAGAATAATAGAACTCTTGTATTAATTTGCATCTCTTGCTGAAAAGCTAGTAAAATTGTTGAAGATACTCAGGTGAATCCAATCTAGATCCTTTCGGAAAGATAATAAAAAAAGAAAAAAAGGACAACTATATCGTTAATTTTTAAGATTTTACATCAGATAGGAAAAGCAATAATATGGATTTTTCGAATTAGCTATTTCAGAGATATTCAATTCTTTATACATATTACATATCATTTAAATGAAAAGATACACATTACAAAGTTCTTTGTAACAACTTTCTAGAAAGAAAGAAAGATCATATCAATCTATACACAATATCATAGATAGAAACTATGCTTTTAATTTTTTAATACAATATTACAAAAAAAAGTAAATTACATATGGATTTACTTATTCACTAATCGCGTTTAGATTTAAAAAAATAACTTAATTTCTAATACCTAAATAATACACACTGAAATGCAAATGCCTTTTTCGTGCAAATATATCGGGGCGTAGTAATATATGTGCTCAGTGTATTTGTATTTTTCATTACGCGATTTAATTAGAGTGCTATTTTATTTGTGCGTTTGTCGTACAACAAATATGTGCAGGACAGGCTTGAAAAATTTGTCTTAAAACAAAAGCACAAACGAAATGACACCCTTAAAGAGTCCTTAAAGTAAACTAATATAGAAAAGTAAACTTACTTCAACTATTTCAATCGATATCGATCAATGTCAAATCAATGATATAAAATCCAGTAAACGTAGATATCGACAATATTATTTTTTCTTATTGCAATTTTTCCTAAATTATTTATATATATTCTGACCGTTTTCTGATTTACTCTGCCATGTGCTGAAAAGCTAATTCATAATTCACATGCTGTAGATTTTCAATACTGACAGAGTATATTGAGATATACAGCTCTTATTTGATATAAATTATATACGAAAACGTAACAAAATTGCGGTATAAAATATACAAGAATTAATATTATAATCGTGCCGCAACAGATCTATATACGTAAAAATATGCTAAAAACAATATAATCAAGAATTTAACTTGGAAAAACATTAAATTGATTATTTAATATTGATAATTTTCACAAGAATTATAGAAAATAGTATTCCATGTACGTGTTTCGAATACTGTTAGTATCAGTCGTGAAATATTTACGCAATAAGTTTGAACATACCTTTTTTTGAAAGATATTATAGTCTCTTAAACTACTATCTTAAAATTATCAGATAATCGCACTGTTTGCAATTATATCTACACTAAAAAATACCGCGATATAACTTTAATCCTTTATTGAAGGCACAAAAACCAATAGTTTTTTCAAATTCATTTAACATCTTACAAACATTTTATTTGTTTGTTCATTCAATTAATTTAGCTTTAGCTGAATAGAATTTTAAAATAATCAGCTATCATTTATATAATTGTCTTTTGTTTAGTTATTAGTCTTCTAAAATAAGCAGAATATACAAAGAACATGATCACAATTTTAATTATAATATTTATTAATATTAGTATTTGTTTTTTACTTAAACAAATCCATTCTATCTCAACAAGATTCCAGTAATCTCTGCGTTAAAAACAAGTGTTTCATGAATTAAATTATGCAAAGAAAGCAAAGATATAATCCTAAATCTTAATTTCTAACTCGGAATTTACGTGAAAGGCAATACTGATAATTGGAAAATTTATCAAAAATATTGATTTGAAAATTTCTTCCGTTAGAAAAAAATTCTTGTTGCATATTATATCTGTTACTAAGGCATATTGTTTTCTTATAGCACATCATCTAATAAACCTTATTTTAATTTATCTATTATATGTCATTATATATGTCATTATTATATGTCATCTTGGGCGATATTGTCATTTTGAATAAAATTCAATCTTTCCTCTTCATCAAATATCGATCCATCATCAGATAACTCATGTTCTTGGCTCATCAAAATGTACTTGGTTTGTGCGTTAATGTCACGTTCCTTTTTATGAGACTTTTTAATGGAAGTCGTTTGCACCAATTTCATTAAATTCATTGCTCTTAAGCTATTTGGAGGCGTTGTATCCAGAAACTTGGATTTTGTGGTATTTTTTATATTTTCCATATTATCTGCTCCTCGACTTGTAGACGGTTGAGGATCGTCGGGATCATTATAAACAATCTCTTTATAACTTTTGTTCTTCTCCTTTTCACACATAATAATACACATCTCTTTTTCGGCACAATTTTTGTCGAAATGATGCTTCAAAGACCAACTGATGGGTTCTTCCAACATCTTATCATTATTTCCAAAATTGACATGCTCACTTTTTTCGACATATGCTCGTTTTTTCTTTAAAATCAGTTTCTTGCTACGGTTATGCTTGTCTTTCTTATGAGATTTTTTAATTGAGTCTATATTACAAAGCAATTCCGTCGTCGACATATTTATTGGAGTTGATCTACCAGTCTTGTCTTTTGGATTTGTATCAGTCACTTTCAAAACGTTTATATTAGTTTCAGATTTTTTAGTATTATCGCGTTCCAATATAAGATCATGTTTTCTCAATTTGGAACAACGTGCTACTGGCGTTACGCATCTGGAACAATCAATTTCCTTTGATGTTGCTTGTGCAGATTCATCTTCTTCTTGTGATATATCGGCCGCAGAAACATAATTTGTAATGTCAACCGGGATTCGTCGTTTTTTAATGGGAGTAAAAATCTTAAATTCATTGTTTATATCTTTACATCCTAAAGACACGAAAGTACTTGAAACTTTGGGTGTACTACTTTGCAAAAATGTGCTTATTGACTTCTCTGTAGGAGATATGTCAGGAGATTTATTCTTACGTAAGGTTCTGCAAATTTCCTCTTCATATTTATGTAATGGATTACCTTCTTTATAATATTCGTGGCTTTCAACAAAATTGGAAGTTCTTTTGCTACGTTTATCTTTCTTATGTGACTTTTTAACTGAATGAAAGCCAAGCAATAAGAGTCTACTTGAATTTACATTTTCAGGTGTGTTTGGTCGATTAAGCTCGGAATTCTGTGGGCTTGAGACATGAATCGCATCAGATGTCTGACTTTCAATATCTTGATCAATATTGCAAACACCTTCAAGTGATATTTCAGATTTTGTTAATTCCATTTTTTGATGAGGATCTTTGATGGGGGTTTTAAACAACATCTTTCTATTTCCATGTTTCATTTTCTTGTGTGATTTCTTAATCGATTCGGTCAATACGTGCTTTAACATATTTACGTTATTTTCGGGTGTAACTACATTAGCAACATTTTGAGAAATATTTGAACTAGATTCTGGAGACGCTGTTCTATTCTCACTGGTCACATTAACATTACAAATACTTGACGATTCGTTTTGCAACAATAACTGACTTACTTCTTCATTGCAAATGTTCTCGTTAGAACAATCTTTTTCTTCATTATTGTGATCTACAAGACATACCTTAACTTGCATATCTTCTTCACAATTCTCATCGCTGGAATCAATATCTTGCATTTTATCATTTTCTATTTGATCCAATCCACTTTCCAACGAATCATTTATTGTCGATGCGGTTTTCTGCTGTATATTGTGATCAGAATCTGATTCAGTATTACGATGTTCGTCATTGTAAATAAGTGTTCTCTTAATACTTCTGTTTTTCTTACGAGATTCATTTTCAGAAGTAATATAGCAACTACTTGTAGCAATCATATCTATTCCTGGAGATTCCATAGTTGTTCTTGAATGTAAATCATTTTGTATAGAAACATCCATCTGCTGAATAGGCGATTGTTCTTCATGAGAATATAATTTTTCCTGTTAAAATAGAAATGTTAGTATATTAATTATAAAAAAATAAATATATATTATTTCTTCTAAAATTTGTAATTAATTTTGAAAAAAAGAAAAATATTTGTTTTTATCTATATTTCTATGTTCTTGTTTATATTATGAATTGTTTATATACATATATGTATACATATAAAATTTATTTTAATAAAGATGATAGTCAAATGCGCGTAGAATTATATAGTATATAAAGATTTATAAGAATCAATTCAAAAATAAGACAGCAAAGATAAATCAATAATAAAATATAATTGTATATACCTTCTTATGGCTCTTCTTAATAGAACTTATACTTTCTGGAATTACATTTATTATATTTTCAGGTGTATGTGATCTATTGTCTAGTTCTTGGTTAAATTCCTGAGATAGATTCCTGGGTGTACTCGCAGTTATAACACGACTGGCTCCTTTTGATCCAGTAAATGGGTTGAATGAGCAAAAGGGATGTGAAGATCCGTGAGAGGCATTTTTGTGGGTAGCTTCTTTTTGTCTCTCGACCAATGACATTAAATAAATTGTTCTTGATCGTATGTGCATATTATCTTTTATATCAATTCTATAGCTCGATTTTCGATTTTGTTGAGGTGTTTGATTCTGATTTTCGTCGATAGATTCTCCAGATGTCATCGGGACATTACTGTCAGTTGAATCAATTGAACTTAAATTTAATACGGATGACGATGTATCAGTATTGATAGAACTGGTAGAATTCTCGTCATAACTACTGTTCTCCTTTGGACTTGGACTCGAGTCAAAGTTCAATGATTTTCTTATTCCTACAGTGTCTTGACGAAAAGAACTATGTGCGGAACTGAGCGCATTCATTATTTTACCTGACCTAGATAACATTCGAAGTGACTTGTATGATATACAATAACAGTCCGAACTCGCATTTGGCGAATTCCAAGTATCTGTATCAACAATCAATGATTTAGCCATTTTGTATTGAAATAGATATCTATTTTTTCTTGGATAATGTTTAGTCGATGCTCTGGGCAATTTAAATTTATATGGAAGGAACTTGTCTTCACTCGGTGATGTCAAATTTATGATTACGTCTTGTAATTCTGAGTTCAAGACACTGTTTTTACTATTGCTGCACACTTCATTCATCTTTGCTAACATTAGCACAATTAAGTACAATTATCTTTGTTATTGCATATGTAATATGCTTATATCATACATACACAAGAATACATATATAAAAATGTATATACACACTCTTATGTAGGAGTGTGTAACTATTTCACAAAAGGATTACTGTGTGGTCTTTTCATGAGAATTGTACATCTAATTATGCTTTTTTTTCCATAGATTCCTATAACAAAAAGAAGTAATTTCAAGAATAAGATATAAATTATTTTCTATATATTTATAACTTAAATAACTTTAGTAATATCTTTAATAATATCTTTAATAATATTTTAAATAACTGTAGTATACTAAGATAGATAAGACTTTCATAGAGTGAGAAAAGTTTGGTCACAAAGTTTTGTGGTTTGAATCATTAAGCTGCTAAGTAGCAAGCTGATCTTACAATATTGTGTAACAAAAAAATAATAAAATAGATTTTAATGCTTCCATTAAAATAAATATTCTATTAAAAGGAAAAATAAAATTGTTCTACAAGCATTAAATAAAAATTTTCAAGTTTCACTTAAATTATCATATAGAATATAGATCATCTTACACGAAATAACTTTTAATTAACTTTTTATAACTATTATTTGTAAGATAACTGAACATTTAATTTAACCAAACATACTGCATATACAATTAATGATTTAAGTTATAATATAGACATATAATAAAAAACTATAAAACAATGCTTTAAACAATGCGCGCGCGCGCGCGCACTGGAGAAGAAATAGAGTACAATGCACTATTTATCAAAAGTAAATTAACCCGTAAATATGCGCGCGCATATGAGCAACAGGAGGTTACCGATAGAAAAAAAAAAGACAAATACATAAACAGAGAGCATTTGCATCAGAATATAAAATATAAAGTATCCTGTATGAAATAAGAGATACCTCTTTATATCTTATGTTGCAGTTCACGATGGAGATGAGTTTCCTGGCCTTTCTGGCGATGAACTTAAAACGTGGCTGCGAATGTTAGAACGTGAGCGGCCGAGATTCACTCTGACAAATTACACTGAAAATGTGCGTTACGTTCCTGCTAATGCGTTCCAGATGTTAGTGATAATATATGCGACACGATTGTTACGAAATTTGATACAACGACTAAAAAATCAGGAATCAATCAACCAATACACACGGCGAAAGTCAGTACAATTCGATTATCTTTGTTCCGAACATTTCTTGCATATTCCGTAATGTATGTCTTCCCACAGTATATACTGTGGTGCTGTGAACTGCGAGATGGAGGATGAATCATGGAGGATGGTCACGGCGTAAGGGCTTGCGCACAATAGAACAAAATTAGGAATTGGAATAAGGCCCTATGCACAATGGAGGAAAAAATTGATCAATTATCTTCAAGTATTCTCTTCTTACCATCGAATGAGAGAGGAATATTCGACTGTGATTAGTCAATTCTTAAGCCCAATGACTACAATGTTAGAAATTGGTCCGATCTCGGCCAGAGAAAAATTAACAAATTACATTTGAACAATTTGATCACATGACCATTGCGATTGGTCAATTCTTTCTTCATCCGAGGTCTTGGACCGATTTTTAACATCGTGAATACAAGGCTTTAGGGTATATCCATATAAATATTTGCATCGCCGCATAAACGTCATATTTTACGTGCGTCTTTATAGGAGAAATGCGATTGGATAATTTTCTTTATGCATACATTATACAGCTAGTTGAGTGGATATAGCCTTAGGGCTGCCGCACACAAAACTCCGTATGCATAAAGCGATCCCATGGTGCGAAATTGGCGGAACGCTGTTTGATCGCGGCTTCATTCTATCGATTCCGTTTCACTAAAATATGTTTTCCTGTGTCCCATGGCGCGGAATTTCCGGAATGCGCAATTAGCATTGACCAATCACAAGAGCCTTCCCGTAGATCAGTTTCATTAGATCCATCGGAATAGCGTTTGTCATTGATTCACGCATCTGCAAGTTTCGCTCCATAAGACATAAGAAAATTCCTAAATTCCTGCGGATCGGAAATATTACCAAATATTTTGTATTTTTAAGAATTTCAATCTTTAATTGTATTAAAAGTATGTTAAACTACAATTGTCTTACATACTAGCAGTCAATGATAGTCCTTAAATATAATTAACATGTATGATCACGCTGTAACATAGCTTTGTTCGTAAAGCAGAATCCCAATTTTGTACTTTAGCGACAGCGATCTTAACAATTCTTGCGAGATATAAGAAATCTCTTTGTACATCAGTAAAATATACTGAGAAAAGGAAGATCTAGACATGTCTAACATGAAAACTAACAATATATTCTGCATTAGTACGTTGTACCGATATTGCGAATGGGTCAGTTGGATGGAACGTGAATGCAACTAATCGTCTTGCAGCCGTTGGTGCCGTTCGTCCCAGCATACCGGCATACATTCTAAATTTTAAAAGACCCGAGTCACGTGCATAAAAGCTGCATAAAAGAAAAGAAATTAGAAATCACAGGCAAAGATTAGTTTTCTCGATAACTTTTTGTCACGAGGATAAGAATGAATCGCCAACCGTATTGGATGTTCCCCACATGCTTTTGGGCGTTCCATCATAGACACCCATTTATCATCGTAACAAAATAAAGATAAATCGAGATACGGAGAACTCGAGTAGGATTGTGCACATATTGGTAACTGAGCAAGCAGCCTTTTCGTAGCTTCAGTTACACCTCCGTATCTAGCGCTTATTATCGTTTGCTTGAATCTTTGCTGTAATAATCTGAAAGGAAATGAAACAAAGTTAAAGGAAAATTATCTAGACAATCATGTATTTTATGTGTGCATCAATGTTAAGATGAAGAATAATATTATATACCGTGCATATATGTTGTTAGATGGTGAACACATGTACTGACAATCCGTGCTCATTCTGGCATTTCTGAAAAAGTCGCTAAAGTTTTCGAATTGAGTTAATAATTGAGTCGACGCGTTGTCGTAAGCCGCCAAAATTTTTGCCGTAACCATATTGTAAACCACTAATAAAGCCGGCTGCGCGTTTGGTTCAGTTGCTTGCAATGTTGCTACTTCTTCGCTAGCATATCTCACCAGGATGTGATTGGTATCTAATAGTTGCATCTTCCACATTCTTAGAGAATTTAGCTGATCAAAATATTGATAAAATCTTCTCAGTTCATAAGGATCCTTGGTCACGTAGCTTATATATTCTGCTCTTTTGTATAAATATACTAATAATCTGTGCTTTAAACTATTTATTGCAACATCCTTAAATGGCCGACAATTAATTCCAGGAAAAGCACTCGTCACTAAATAAGCATCGTCTTCCATGCAAAACCTAACACATGTCATTTAGGTTGTATTTTCATGTCTTTTATCAAAGTGTTAATAATTGTAACATTTAGTAGATGTGTGCTCACAATACCTTCCTATTGTTCTGACATTTATAAACATGCCGTCAAGAATTTGAAAGATATGAATCATTTGATGCTGTACAGATAAAACTGCTAATATATCTTTATATAAATATAAACCTATATAGAAAGGAAATAAATTTATTTTAAGTTTGAAATATTAACTGTCTAATTGACCAATATTTTAACAAAAGCAATTAAAAAAAACTTTGCTCATTTTGAATTTCTCATTCAGTAATACTCATATACTAATCAATAGAAGAATAACTATTGAATTATCGACTACTGAATTATTTGATATCCATTGATTACTAAAATATCATCTATTCAGAATCTAAAAATGATAAAGATTGTTCGAATAATTTAAAAGTACAAATATGCAGTGTAATTTTTCATTTGAGCCAAGTTTCGTTGCTGGACAAGAAATTCAGAATCCATATAAAAATGAGCAAAGTTCTTTGTGCAAGCTCTTCTCAGCAAATCATACTCGTACAATGCTAGATTCAACTTGGTTAGATAAGCAGCGGTGATTTGTCCAAATTTCATTTATATACCTTGATTGTGCGACAAGTAAATTTTGTCGACTTTAAAATGTCTAGTATCACATAACTTTCCACCTTTTAAATCAACAAGGTGCAAGCTATAATCTTCAAGCGGTGATCTAGGATTTGGTGTCAGTGCCTCGTTATTGGAATAAATCTTTAAGAAATATTATTTTATTAAACTCTTTTTCAGAAAGAATAATATCTTAGATAAAACAATTAGAAATTTTGTGCTACCTGATAAAAATGTGGTCTCAACTCCTCAGGGATATGAGCGGCCGAGCCCACAATTACATACCGAGCGTCGTCGGTGAAAAGACTGCATTCTCTGTTCAATTGCTGGTTGCTTTCTACTACATTTATAATCCACTTTACCTACAAATATGTTTCAGAGCTGGTACATCAATTTCACCGGTTCTCTCCCTTTCTCTCTCTCTCTATCTTTCTCTCTATTTCTCTCTTTTCTTTAATCTTTTACAATCCGCAAAGTAAAGGCGTACGCCGTGCGGAGTCGGTTAGTATCCAGTACCTTGAAAAATCGCGCGAAGATATTACTTCGTATGTGAAAGCTACAGTCGTCGTTCTTGTGGCCGATGTACTCGCCTTCGCAGTCGGCCAACAAGTCTGCAGCGGCCGGTGCTCCGCGGTACTCGTACACCTCGATCGAAGTCTGATCCGCGCTGAACGCCACTAAGTATCTTCCATCTGGGCTAAACTTGCGGAGGAAGCACGGCGGCTTCTCCACATTCATCACAGTGAAGTTGGGAAAGACATTCTGATAGAACTGTCGAGCGCAGTGCACATGGGTGCCTGGATATGGACAACCCATCGTCTCCCTACGTCGGAGACGCACCACCACGTTCTGCGGGCCGATCCTGCGTGGATTCACAGGGCAGGGATCCGCCACGGATTCGATCCTGCTCTCCCTCGTCGCCATCCTACAAGCTCGCGCGACAACGGAGCACGTAAATAGCATCCATTGCATCCGATCGCGGAGAAAATTACCGCCGATATTACGTACGATACATCGTACCTTTTGACAGGAGCGGACGTTGTCTACTTTCAATGTTATTCTCAACGTCCTTAACGTGAAACTGCAAATTTCAAAAACAAGGTTAGTTATGGGTCAGATGGACGAAATCGCGCTTGCGCAATTTTACTGCGATCGTTCACAGACTACAAAGTGCCACAACGACGGTCGAGGAATGATTGGTTGAAACAGCTGGATCTTAAAGATAAGAGCCAATCATGTTTGATCACCACTTTAGTCCCTCAGTGGACAATCAAACGAATGAATTTGATAATTTTTTTTAGGCCCGATTGCACCAACGTACTTTGATTTTAAGTAAGGCTTAAAACTCTCTGTCTCTTTTTTCGCTTTAAAATGAGATAGAGAGAGTTTTAAGTTTCGTTTAAAGTCAAAATAACATTGATACAACTGGACCTTAATCCAGCTAATAAGCAAAATAATGCGATTATATATTGAAGTAAGAAATATTAGGTGTGGGAAAAAGTTCATGACGTTTTTCCCGTTAGATGGCATTAAAAAAACGCCACGAATTTTTTCCCATATCTAATATTTATTTTTTTATCTTTTATTAGATCTATAATTTATGACATTTTCCTTGGTCTTATTAAATTGTAAATTTGAATATATGCGAAATAAGCTAGAAGATAATAAAATAATACGATACTATTTTATTTTGATTATTTTACTCACTTATTACTTTTTATTTTTCTAATTACTGATTTTAATTACATTATTAAATGTGATGTTTGCTATTATTTGTTATAATTCATCAGAATACTGTATAATTGATTTGTCACTTCAGTTACTGTGACGCTGATATATATACAAGAATATTTTATCAGTGTTTCATGATGCGAATAGTCTATTTGCATTATAGTATTTGTATTAAATATTTAATTTATTTATATATACACACACACACACGATTTATCGATCAAACATACTTTTGTTGTCATGGACACAAGAATGCTGTCAATAATATGATGATCGTTATTTAGAATCTAACGTAAAAATACGTTAAGAATTCTTTCCGAAAGAATGGCAGAGCAAATGGAATACATAGTACCGCCATGGGAAATTGAAGCTTATGTAGAAAGCTTGAATATTTCGGAGCTCGAAAATGTCGGTACAAAAAGGTAATCGCATTTTTATTCTTTTTTATTCCCTTATCATTCGATGTAATTCAGAAATCGATGTGAAAATGTTTCTTTCAGTTGGTTGGATTTCCACAAAAAATTGACGTTGCTAAATCAGCAGAATGTGCTCGAGATAACAGGGCTACATGAGGAGAGTGTCATGGAATGGTTTATTTCGTTAAAGAAAGTAAATAATTAAAAAGAACAATTTGTAAAATATGCTATAAGCAGTGTTGTAAATACGATATCACAAGTAGAAAGATTATCGATAAACTGAAGATGTGCAAAAATATAATTTTCTGTAATAACTTTGTTATAATTTTATTAATATTTAATAAAATCATTATATTTAATCAATTTTTATAATATTCAATAGTAATTATATTTAATTAATATAATTATAATTTTTTCTACTTTAGCAATATTCTATGTAAGTAGCTTTCGATTAACTGTCTCTTTTACAGTGTTATTTATTTAATTGTATATTGTTTTTAGATTCCCATTCTTGTGTATGAAGCTATACAAATCGACATATGGAAGCACAAGGTGTTTCCACTTTTGATAGATTTTAATGGGGAGCCAACAAATACATTTATGCTATTCAGTATATTCTATCACGAAGTTATCGCGGTTTCATTATTGGAAAATATATTGTTTCATTGCGAAAGCGCGCAAACATTGGATGACACGGTGATAGATCTCATCGATTACACTGTTCAACACATAACAACACTTCTTGATGGAAAAACTTTAGAAGTATATGAAATCAAAAACGCTGAGTAAGATATTCTCTCTTTTAATTAAATATAAGAAAATATAAAATAAACAGAGAATACATATACAAATTATTTACCCAGAGGATATAAATTTTAAATTTTCATAAATATTGAATTTGTTAATCATACATGTTTTTCGCTTCAGCTCTTGCTTGGAAGAAATAGTAGAGAAGCAAAGGGCATTCGAGTTTGACATTGGGATGCGGTGTATCTCAATTCTTCATTATTTAATAGAAATTTTGGATAACTTACCTCTTTGCGCAATTTCGCGCATGCTAGCTATACACGACGTTCCATATTTATTTGCACAGCTGATAGAAAATCAACCATGGAAGAAGCAAAACGAGGATGGTAATTCGTTTTCATCTGTTAACATCTATTTTCCATTTCTAGTATCTTAACGAAGTATGATAAACAATTAAGCTATCGTTAATCTTCATATAGATGAGGTGTTGATGTATGAAGGCAGCTGGAGGAAAATTAAACCGAGTGAAAGTGGAAAAATTAATAAAAGGGAGGGACAAGTATGGTTTGGCTTGCGAGAATTACTTCTTAATCCAAAATGTTCTCCATACTATGAAATCACAGAGCACAGGTTGTCCCAGCTATCAAAGGTAATTATTAAGTGAAAATGGATCAAAAAATTAAAAAAAAAATGCAAATGAGTATATTATTGGATTTTAAGATCTGTCTTGATCAAATATAGTTCTCTTCACTCATTTATGTACTAATATCGATGTTAACAATCAAAAATATGTATAATTTTTAATAGAACTCTATATCTTAGCTACAGAAACATTTGCATGACGATATACTCGATCAAATTGCACCTTTGATAGAGCTTAAGAGATGGTTAGCTTACTTAAATATATCGCCGGCGATGCCATCTTCGAATTCAACTTGCCCGGTTCGCGTGGAAGTTATGCCGCAGGTATATCACTATTTTTCATTTCTCTCTCTTATCAATTATCAATTATACAAACTTAAACATATCAAATATAGATAAAGTCAAGTATTCTGGAAAAATATCATAAAAAATGGAAGAAACTGGCTAGGCATCAATCGAAGTACTTATTTACAACAGATACAAGTTACATTAAAGAGGCCGCACAAATTTTAAGTGATGTCTATGATTTGGAGAAGTTAGACCGTATAGAAACGAAAAAATGTTCGTTATGTCAAGAACCGTCTAAGAAACGATGTTCCAAATGCAAGGAAGTTTGGTATTGTAGCAGGTATATAGGGAATAATCAGACTTTACTAACATCACGCTTACTAACAAATGCTACATGCATTCAAAAAGTAACATACACTTGATATTTTTCTTATAGAGAGTGTCAAGTGAAAGACTGGGAAAATCACAAGAATACTTGCGATACAATAACAAAAACTAGACAGTGATAATACATTTCTTAATAGTTAAGAATATATGTATTCATCAATACATTTAAAAATATATTATATCTTATCTTTTTAATTATAATGAAATATTATACAGTTATGAACACAAAGATTGCAACGCTTTTTTCAATGAGGACATTCTCACAATTTTCGCGCATTTTGAAATTATTGGAAAAGAACAGTTGCAATCTTTGTATTCATAATATATTTTAACTTTAATTTAACGAAAATTTTAAGAAATGTTTGGAACAAACGTATTTGTGTAATTTATGTCAAATATTTTATTAAAAGTTATTAATGTACAGCGCTTTGTTTAAGATATTCCATTAGAACATCCTTAGCAGGTGTATCTTCACCAAAATCCTATAAATAATAAATGTTAATTCAATAATGGAATAATAACGATACAGATAAAAATATTAATAAAATCACATCAGCAAGGCATAATTACAGCATGATTTGTTTATAATATGGGTTCTACTCAGTAGAGGGAGCCTAAATATCATCATGTATTGTTTTATAATACATACATATTGTAAATCATGTATTATGTCTTTAATATATTACTTTATGATCATCACAGATTTTATCAGGAAGAGCAAAAAAGGTTTAATACAGCCTACCTTTATGACGACGCATGAGCAGCCAACCACTTTACGTGCTTTGCCCGCGCTGTCAATTTTACATAAGCCAGCCCATTCACCTAACTTTTTGTTATTATCTACCTTTATCAGTGGAATTTGGTGTTCATTACATAATGCTTGAACCAATTTCTTGTACATTGGTTCGTCGCAATTTTCTGCCAGGATGCAAAGCATAGCCTGTCTTCTGCAATATAAAAGACACACATTATGGCATAATATTTGTTACTGTTTATAACAGCAAGACATCAAAAAATAACAATTGGATTTTAAAAGAGAGAATCTTTATGTTTCCTAATATAGTTATATTCACTTTATATATCTGTTTGTTTGTTTATATATTTGAAGTTTGTTCATTTTTTTTCATGTTGAAACAAAAAAGAAAAAAAAGATGAACAGTTCAAAAAGTTTAACTAAAAAAATAAACCTCTTATAAATAATATTTTTATATTCTTACTTATCTAAAGCTTTGGCAGCTTCATGGAGTCCGTGAACAACGCCGTCGTGAATGAGAGAATTCTTTAGAACTTCTTGTAGCGCAGTGTTAACATCCATACTACCACCCGCTGCCATCGCTGATGGCACATCATCACTGTAATGAAACAATTTTATTGAATACAGCATCTTAGAATATTATTTAGAGCTTATTTTATCAATAGATGTCATTTTATTATTTCTATTTATCGGCTGTTATAACATGTATATTTTTACAATTGCAAAATCTACAATTGATTTTTCAATAACAAAAGTTTAATCAATCTTACAGTGATGAATACCTTTATTATGCATCAAACTTTATTCCTATGTCACTAAACACTTCTTGCGCGCAGATCCGTACATGATTCCGATAATTTATTAAGAGTTAATTTATTAACTAATCGCATGACAAAAAAAGAAGATGCAAAAGATTAAGTATACTCACTTTTCTACGTCAGACATGTTTGAGCGAACTGGAGAGCTGGAAATAAATACAGGACGTTATTATTCTCTCTTTACGAGATACATTCCAATGTTTTCGCAGGCGAGATACATGATGATCTTAATATAATAAATGGATTTTAATCACGCCAATATTCAACGTGGATCAGTTTACCTTTCTTGCAGGCCGAGAAGGAGCTACCGCATTCTGGGCTTTTACGCATGCGTCATTTTAATCACCAGCGATGCCATGCGCATGTTTGACCGGCCGATATGTTGACGCGGAGCAACATCTACAACATTCTGCTCGAAACAGTAGAATTATCGATGATCGATCATAATTATGTTAATGTGTGTCATGCCCTCTGTCGACGAACTTTAGGTCTTAAGGTTAAGACAAATATTCGCGCCAAATTTATTATCTGCAAGAATGTTATGAAATTCACATCAATCATATCGTGTCCTCGATTTTTTCGCGGGTATTGCATCATTTTTTGTATCTCTCATAAAGACGTGATCTGGCCGTATCGACCTTCGTTTATTATTTCGAATGGCAGGAGGCATTAACTTTAAGAAGAAAAAGAAGAAGAATCGTGTTCTCGACGTGATCATATTGGTCTCTATCGGAATTTGAAATTTCTTGAGAGCAAGTAATATTTCATTAAAGAAGAATTATCTCCGATGCAATATAATTAATTTCATTTAGCATGAAATTCATTTGGACTGTTCTAGTATTTACGCTTTACTGTAGATTTTCAATCTTTTAACGATTACGTAATCATTACAAGTAATTATTACAAGTGATCCATATGGATAATTGTGTGAAAGAAGAATTGATTTTAGTAACACAAATATTGGTCCAGTACATCCTTAACATTTAACCAATGTCTAATTCACTAATGAATTGCTGCTAGGAAAGATTTGCACTAGTTTGGTAAGCAATCGAACAGCTAGTAGTAATATTTTAATTTTATTTTTTGGTTTACATAATGGAAAATTTTCCTTTTCGTTTTCCTACATTATATTTTATTAGATAGAAAGTTGTGTTTACAAAATATACATTGTGAATACATAAGATTTTATTTATATATAAAAGTATTTAGTAACAAATTACTATATACTAGTATAGAATCTACTATTGTACATACATGTAATAGATTCTATAATAGTCGCGAATAATAAGAAAAAAATAAAAAAACATACTATATTGCTTTGAATATAGTACTGATCGATATATTTACAAGATCTTATAGCATAATGATAAAAAAGTAATGAAGGAAATATAATGATTGCAACATTTAAATATCTAAATTAATCTAAAATAGTTCACATTTGTTCAATGTATATTATTAATTTTCATTATTATTACGTATGTACAGATTGTTTCTATATGTGTTAATTAAAACTATAACTATATTTATTAACCTGAACTTAATAAGCTAATTTGATGTTTCGATTTAATGCTTTTAGATATAAATAAAAACGGCGGTGATGTATCCGAAATAAGAATGAAAAAAAAGAGAAAAGGAACTCAAAAGAATGAGAACTATTCATTCAAATTGATCAAAGTTGATCTATCACTGGATATTGGCCAAGTAAGCTTTCAGATTAGAACCAGTCCTTCTTCCATTGAGTCCAGTAAACACCAACCAAAAGTAACACAAATATTAAAATGATAATTTCATACTCAGTGTAACTATAAAGCTGTATCAGACTAGAATTTGAAATTGAGATTGGACTGGAATTTGATAAAATAAAATTCATTAATCTTCATATTGATTTTGTTTCTCCTGATTTGATTAAATTCTAATTCAATTTCAATCTTTAATCTGACATGGGTTTTACATGTTATATTTATATTGTTGAGTATGAAATTATTATTATTATATTACATTCAATTGGTGTTTTCTAGGAGAGAGTAAAAGAAGAAGATTAAAGTTAACATCAGCTGATGTAATCTCATATGCCTAACAGTAATTGGGAGCAATGTTATGTCGATGGTGAATATCGATATGGCCAATAATGTGGTGGTGGCAATGGCGGTGGAGGTGGCGGTGGCTGTTGTTGACTGGAAGACGATTCTGATTGGAAAGTGGACGGTGCAGAGTGCTGAGCAGGTCCAACAGGATATAAGCGAGAAGTGCGATGAGCCTGATGATGAGGATGGCAGCTCGTATTTGTTACGCGCGTTGACGTCGACGCCTCCAACATAATGCCTGCTTGCGACTGACAAGCCATCGTCAAACCACGAAAATCGAATTTGTAAGCATAACGTTTACCATGAACTTTTGTCATTATATTCTTGTCGTAGTAATATCTGTGAAATAACATTTTTCTTTCTTAACAGCGCTGTGTTAACATAAATTGTTCCAAAGTGTTAAGAAAAAAATTTGAGAAAAAAAAGAAAATCTACATACGAAAGAAAAAGAATAGAATTTATTTACACTTCAGCATATATAAGCCAAGAAGGGGTTTACAGAAATACTTAACTCACACTTATACTTCTCTCCGGCCTCTTACAACTATAAATCTAAACTATACATTCTCTTTTACCTATATATAATTTCTATATCAACTCTATCACAGTAGTAGAAAGAAAAAGAAAGAAATAAATCGCTAAGAAACAATAAATTGCTATATTAACAGAAAAATGACAATTATCAACTTTTTTCAGTATATATTTTTAAAATTTTCAATTGGAAGAATATTTTAAATAGGCTAAATACACATTTCTATAACTACTTCCTTTCCATGTTATTCTTTCAATTAATGTATTTTTTAAAACTAGAGTGAATTTTCAAAATTCGAACACTGCAATTTTAATATAGTATAAATTTCATTATCAAAATGTTGCGACACACTTTATAAATAAATGAGCTACAAATGTGTCGTTCATAGAAAATATAGTAATCTTTAGAATCAATTTCTTTTCATTGTCTAAAAAATTCTAATTTTTTACTTGTATCACTTTTCTATCAACACAGCGATATAATTTATAATATGTATAATTGTATCATTTATTTATCGGTTTATATTTATACAATTACCTCAACGCGCGTGACAGTTTGTCGTAATTCATGTTAGGCTTGCTCTTGCGCTCACCCCAACGGCGCGCTACTTCATCCGGATCGGTGAGCTTGAATTCCCCATTCGAGCCCTCCCACGCGATACAAGATGAGTTAGACGAATCTGAAAGCAGCTCCAGCAGGAATTGCCAGAGCTGAACCTGTCCGCCTCCGACCGCCCCCGAGCCACTGGCTCCAGCTGTTGATCCAATCAGCGAGCAAGTTCGTTGTAGGAGGCTGAACCTTTCTGCGAGCAGAAAACGGAACACGCATGCACCAAACCATGTTCTCAAGCTGTTCTTGAGATCGAGTCGTTTGGACTGTGAGAGACAGAGAAATAAAAGCGATGAATCGTCGGTTTTCCCTAGTACACTTGTCTTCTTACTCCGACTGACACAGACTTTTATCCTTCCGTTTCTATCTGTATATCATTTATGTAAATATTATGTTGACAAAAAAATTGATAATTATCGGTTTAAATTTTATTGCGAAAGTATATATAAAAAGTCATGTAATTCTAATATTTGCTATTAACATCTTATTATATGTAACATTTTATTTTTTATACTGTCAAGATTATTATATATTTGTTATATACAAGTTATTTTTCGCTAATAGGTCATATATCTGTATTTTCGCATCAAACGCAGTTGCAACGTCAAATAAATACACGAGCGACAGAGACAATAGATTAATTTTTTTTAGCTGAATTTTTTCTACGATTTATTTTTTTTTCTTCCTTTTCTCTTCTGCACGTTTGAGAAAAAAAAGGAAAGATGAATCATGCAAGAAATTCAGTTAAAAAGAATAGGCTTAATATGTGTGATAGTATTTTCAACGTTTTTATTTCAATTAATTAATTAAATTTAATTAATTAAATTTTTTGTTTAATTTACCGTTATAAAGAATTGCAGCAGCCGAAGGGTGTAATCTGGTGTCCTGCTGAAGATGTAAAGGATGCGTCTGAATTCTCCACATTACGCGCCGAATTTGATATTTTGGCCTAATCCTGTGCCATATAAACGGCGCTTTCGAAAACCGATAAACGACAAGCCCATCATCTCTGGAGTTGAGAATCACGCATTGAAAATCCGTTTTCTTGCGTTTTCAATAGTCGATAATCTTGCAGTCTTAACATTTATGGCGATCTTACGTCTTGAGCCTACATCTTTTTGATTTAAAAGAAAAAGTATTGTATGCTCGCACATCGCTATGATGTTTCATGTGTTAGCCGAATAATAATAGAAGTTAATTTTACATGAGTTCATGTCCAACGATCACACGAGCAACGAATAAATTTCATCGCGAACTAAACTGTTTCGCAAAATAATGGATACAATTCAGGGAATATTAATTGAGATTCATTTCACCGATCTCGATCAAACCGAACGTTCTACACATCTCGGACAATTACACGCACGCGACAAGCAACATCAATCATCAGCGGAAGATAGACGCATTTGGAATAAAACTCCGCCAGTCAGTGGACAGAGAGCAACTGAGCGACCTTTGCCCCTGGTTATTTCAGCTTTCAGCCCTTTGCGCCCCCACTCTTAGTCTTGGTAAGAACGGAATACCTTTACACCTTCCCCTCTTGCGACATACTGCGCTTAGAGTACTTACCGTCTCAGCTGCCATCTCTTTTGCTCTCTTTTCTTTCTTTTTCGAAATTTACGCAAGTATCTTTAAGAACTTGAGCGAGATGGCGAAAGTTGTATAGATTTATTCGAAATTCCTTCTTTCAAAACTGGATTTTTCGTTTGCTTGGGATGATCATTTCTTTTTAAATCACAACATTTCTGCAAAAAAACTTGGATATATTTTATATTATTTCATATCATATTATTTGTCTGTGACTTATGGAGATATAACTGAAAATGTATGCATGTTATTCGCCATTTTTTTTATTTGATATGAAATATTAAAGAGAATATTTTAAAGTCCCTTTATGAAAATGAAAAAATATCTAAGAGTCTCGGTTGAAGTGATTATTCGCTATACAAGTTGTTACAATTATACTCATAAGAAGTTTTAATAGAGATATCAAATATTCATATTGCATTTATTATTGTCTATCATACTAGTTGTCAACTCAACATTAAAAGATATTTACATTTTCCACTTTCTGTAATACAATTGACAAACAATAGTACATATGCCAAAAAAATTACATATCTTAAATGCAATGACAAAGATAAAAATATATACGGAAACGTGATGCAAAATTTGAATATAAGAATATTTTGTAATGATACAAAAAGATTTACACAACTCTCTCGCATATTATTATGCACTTCCAATTATGCAAAAGAAAGAAAAAGAGAAAAGAAAAAAAAAATATATATATATATATAAGTATAATATAATTTTATTATTTGATCTATCTATGTTAAATACGATACAAAATGCTCAAAGGGCAAGCTCAAATAGATTCGTTCGAGGATATCGTGGCTGCACACATTAAACACATGCACATATATGCGTAAATACAAAGTGCATGCCATAAACGCAAGAACGTACACGGGAGAGAAGTTTAAGCGACGTGTGACGGAGGTGCGACGCGTAAAATTATCCCGTATACATTCAAGATTCAGAGTACGCTTGCCGCTCATCATGAAAACAATATAGTCGCGCCCCGCGGCGAGCTTACCACCCCCGAGCCCGTTAGAGCCTGCCCCTGGAGGAGAGCAGAAAGAGGGGTAAAAGCGGTCGCGCGGCAAGCTCGTAACCCCTCGTGGCACCACCTTTCCGCTGCCCTAAACACTCGATGGTTTATTCATGAAGGACTCTCTCACCGCGATAACACTGATTCGTTTAATAAACGGCTGCTGCCGGGGCGAGATGGGCCGACACACACATAGAGAACAAGAGGAAAGGAAAGAGAAAGATAGAGAGAGAGAGAGAGAGAGAGAGAGAGAGAGAGAGAGAGAGAGAGAGAGTTGCAACGTTATTCAAACGGACGATATATCTCAGAGGCTTACGCTGCCACAGTTCGGTACCTCTCACTTTTAGCTTTTCTTCCTCCAAAGAGATGGTGCTCGGAAGTCTGTATTCCGTATACGAAAAAGAGGGGCATAATAGAGCATAGATAAAAGAAAATTAAATTTATTTTATTCCGTTTTTCGTGTTTTTTCATTATGACTCTATACAGAAACCGATTCTACACGAGAAGAACAGCTGTGCAGAAGTACCTAAAAGTTTAATTAAATACAGACCTGAAAATAATTTTATTAGATTATCAAAATAATTACGAAGGCTCAAGCTGGTTGCTAAAATGTTAAAATTTTTTGCAATATTTCCGCTTTCTACGTAATTATTTTGACGGTTCAACAAAATTATTTTCTTCAAATCTGTAGTCATAAATTTTTAAATACTTCGATAAAAGCATCCTTCCATGTATAACAATTTCGTATTATAATCATTATTGTAAACATGATTGTCATATAAGATATTTTTATTAATACCATCCACTTTCATAGAAATTTCTTATTTTGTATGAAATGAATTTTAACTCAATGTTTGCAAACTGCAAGCTTTCTCTTTATTCCTTGGGATATCGCTTTTTTATTCAATCGATTTTATATCGACAAAATATAGACTATTTCAGCATATACGTTGCTTTTCCTTTCGAATCACATGAGCAACAGAGGTGAAGAAAGTCTGGGGTAAAACTATCCATTTGACGATACCGATATTTACTTTCCCGAATCGCGTTTATCTATAATAGATCGCCGCTATCGTTAAAGCTTTAGATAAGCTCTTGGTCAGTTAGACCAGAATCGGTCTTTGGGGAATGGTTAGCCTTTTCCGGTCATTCTCCATTCAATCGTGACAGGTCCAAGACTAAATCCTTATACTAAGCTTTCCTAAAAGTTTTGCTATTTAAATTTATAGCATGAATTGCTTTGGATTTATGCTTGCAATATGTGTAAATGCGATGATGTTAGTATCGCCAAGAGAAAAAAAAGCATTATGATCTTGCTAGTGTATATATATATATATATATATATATATA